CCTCAATTTGGTGGCTGGCTCAGTGGGGTTGGCATGGCTTGTGGTACCAAGGATCAAATCCTCGTCCTTGTCCTTGCCTGGTAGGAGCTTAGACCACCAAACTATCTCCCTGTCCCCAAAGCACAATTTTGAAAATCAATTTATATAAAGTTCAGTAATCTGGTGTTATTTGTTGAAGGATGTAGGCAATATTTGCAAAATATTAGGTATACATTGTGGAAAATTTGTAAGTAACATGTGTCAATTTCTTCTCTGAAAGAATAATACAGAAGCAGTCATAAATAATATGTGTTTATTTAGAAGTTGCGAAGAGTAGTTAATAGATGTTGTGAAGGAATATGAGGGGCTTTTGTTTTTCATTCTAAAGAGAATAGAAACAGATAAAACATTCTAAATGATGCACAATTTATAAAAATAAGATGATAGCTACTCAACAGTCATTGCATTGCACATTTCTGTCTTCAAAGTACTTGTTTGTATTCTAGATATAAGCCTATAACATTGGTCAAAGGAAAAATTTTAAGTATTGACTTCTACTTTTAAAAAACCTGATAGACAATTGGGGAGATAACTTGATGTTCTAAGCACCTTCCTGGCAAGGGCAAGGACCCAGGTGTAATCCCTGGTGCCACATGCCATGCTGGCCCTGAGACCTCAGACATGCCATCCTGACCACCTAATCTGGGCATGTTGGTGCGTGTCTGTAACCCCAGCGATGGAGAGGCTGGGACAAGAGGATCATTATGAGTCCAAGCTGTGTAGTGAGACTCTGTATCAAATAAATACATAAAATAATTTAAAAACTGATGAAAATTACTAGTACAATCATGTTTCTTGATATGTGTGTATACATACATAATTTTCTCCCATTCCTTTTCCTTTTTTCATATATTTTCTCCTTTCTCTCATCAAAAATGTCTATTACTAATGTTCAGTTTTTTCCTTTTAGTATATCTATTGTACCTTTCCAATTTTATTTATTCTTTCAAGGTCTTACACTAGGGTGAAAATATGATGTTTACACAAGTGGATCTGATTTATTTCACCTATGCATATAGTCTGTAGTTGTATGCATTTACCTATAAAATCCTCAAGTTCACCTTTGTTTATAGCTGAGACATATACCATTATAAAAAATACCACACTTTTTCATACATTATTCAGGTGATTGGCATTTGGGTTATTTTTGAGGTTATATTTGTTATTAGTTATGACAAATTCAGCTGCTGTCAACATGGGCACACATGTATTACCGTGCTATGATTATTTCAGTTCTTCTGGAAAAATGCCCCACAAGAGAATAGCTGGGTTGAATGGGAATTCTAATCCTAGTTTTCTTAGTCTCCATTCTGATCTCTGTAGAGGTTCTACCAGTCTGGTCTTTGTGAAACAGTGTAGAAGGGCAATTTTCCACCCATGGCCTTTCCAGCACTTGCTATTAGATGATTTCTTCATGATGGCTATTCTTTCTGGGGTGAGATGGAATCTCAGTGTTGTTTTAATTTGCATTTCTCAAATGACCAGTGCTGTCAAATGTTTTTTGATGTATTTATTTGCGATTTGTATTTCTTCCTCTGAAAAGTGTATATTCACCTCAGATACCATTTTTGAATTGGGTCTTTGAATTTTGGACTCATAATTTTTTAGTGCTTTACATATTCTAGAGAGAGGTCTTTTATGTGAGTGATTGTTGATCAAGATATTTCCCCAATTTGTGGGCTTTCTTTTCACTGTGCTGGTTATAACTCTTGATGTCCAGACTTTTTTCAGTAAGATAGGATCTCTGTTGTTGATTCCTTGAAGTATTTCCCATTCAGTTTGGTTTATTTTTTTACATCGACTGTCTGCCTATCCATATATCTTTAAGATTTCTACATTTTCTTTCAGTGTATCTATTGTTTTTGTTTTAATGTTTAATTCTTTAATCTGCTTTGACTTTATTTGATTGTATGGCAAGAGATCTTGATCTAATTTTAGTCTTCAGCATGTGGAAAACTAGTTTTTTCAAACAACCTCTGTTAAAGAGGCTATCTTTTTCCAGTGTACATATTTGGCCCCTTTCTCAAAGACAAGGTGGCTGAGTGCAATTTTATATGCGTTTTCATTTTTTAATATGGTTCATTGATTCTCCGATATGCTTTTGATCAGTCTGGTGCTGATTTTATAATAGTAGCTTTGTGATATAATTTCAAGTCAGGGATTGTAATACCTCCTTCCCTGCCTTTGTTGGCCACGATTGCCTTTGTATTCCAGAACACTTCTGGCTCCAAATGAATTTTAGAATTGTTTTCTATAGATATGTGACGTATATCAATGACATTTTGATAGGGATTACATTAAATCCATATGACAGGTTTGGGAATATAGCCATTTCCACAATGTTGGCTTTTCCTATTCATTTCTAGTTTCTTTTATTTTATTCTTTTGTGTCTTAGGGAAGGGTCTACAGCGTGTTCTGGGTCTCACTACTAGATCAGACTCGTGATGATCCACCTGTTTACAGCCTCCATAGATCTGGGATTACAGGTGAATGACGCCATGCCCAGTCTCAATTGCCATCTCAGTGAGCCATGGAGGCGAGGCCAGCAGAACAGGCCCTGAGATCAAACCCAGAGCCAGTGAGCTATTGTTTTCAATCCACTGAGCTATTTGGCTGACCCAAACCATCATATTTGTGTGCCTTTTCTTTCTGTCATTTTTTGAGAGAAGGTCTCATTATGCAGTTCAGGCTCACTTCGTAGCACAGGCTGACCTTGAGCTCACAAGGGTACTGCTGTCTCAGCTCCTTGAGTGCTGGGATTGCAGGCCTGTGCCACCAAACCTGGCAGAAAACATAATTCTTTATAATCCAAATTTAACCAGACTTATTTGTATCATAACACACATCGGTGTAGTCCATCTCTCCAATGACTTTATTTTATTTATTTATTTATTTCTGTATTTTAGGGAAAGTTCTACAGGGTGTTTAGGGTCTCACTATTAGATCAGACTCGTAGTGATTCTCCTGTTTACAGGCTCCCAAGTGCTGGGATTACAGGGACACACCACAATGTTCAGTCTCAATCGGTGCTTCAGCGCACTCTGAGGACAGGATCAGCACAGCAGAATCTGGGATTGAACCCCTGTACCCTGTGCTTGCTTATAGGCACTTTAATCTGCTGACCTCTTTGGCTGGCCCTTTCTCCAATGACTTTAGAGACTGCTCTTCCCTCCTCCTTTATGTTCCCTATTTTAAATTCAAAAGAATGTTAGAAACTAGCCCTGGTGGATATGGAAGCATTGTGATACAACGCAAGCTTCTAAGTCCCCATGAAGTCCAATCAGATTTGAAGTTTAAACATGCCTAAACACTTGAGGAACTGAACATGAATTACACAGGGCCAGATAAAGCAAAGCTCAGGGGGGCATGCAGTTCCCACTGATCAACTCGTTCCCTCTTCACACCTCCACAGCCTCACCCTCAAGGTCAGCCAAACTCAGCACAAAGCTCAGTGGTGCTCACAGTGACCTCTGTTTTATATTGCCTCACCTTGCAATCATTTTCATTTGACTTACTGTGCAATAGACAGTTTTCTACTCAGCCAGCCTTGCTTTAATGAGCCACTTCGTTGTACTTTCTTACTACGGGTATTTTTATTCATTTACAATATGCTCTACGCCATTTTGATTTTTATGGAGTTTGTTTGATTGAATAAACTTGTGACCTGAAAACACTTGAGGTGATAATTAAAAACAATATGAGCATTTTATTCTGTGTCATCTCAAGCCTGTTATACCTATATATTTTCAATGTTTATCAATGATATCTCATGGGAAACAGAAATGTATGAAATACTAAATATGTAGCCTTTATCAGTAATGTCAGCTCAGAAAAAAACTTCTGAAAGCTGTTGAAAATTTTTGAGATCAGTTGAAAAAATTAATGACTTGAAATCTCTGAATGCCTTGGTTCTCCATATCATTATTTTTGTTGATATTTTTTCTAAGTTCAAGAGCACTTTCTGACAGTATTATATGATTTTCCACTGTGGGTAAATGGGAATGTCACTTGTATGTTGCACAAAGCTGACACCTGTTCTTTTTGTATTCTTTATTATCTTAGTAATTTCGTGTCATGTACATATTATAACCAACTTATTGCCTAAGATACACATGTGAAAGAATGTATTGACAGCTCTTCTTGCAACTTTGTAATACATTTTTCTAACTTGTTTTATATGATGTTATAAAATATTCAAAAATTTTGTTCCTCATTAAGTACAGGTTGGAAACTGCAGAATGGACAGTTTCAATAATTGAAAATTGCCAGTTGTATAGAAGTATATTATCATACTATATTTCTTGGGTTTTTTTGAGAACTTTAAAGTTAGACAGTGAATCAATCAACCATTTTTGGTTTTCTTTGGGATTTTACTTAGTTTGATTTTTTATTCTTTGCTTTGTTGCTCTTTCTGCTGCCCCAGAGCCACATGCCAACCTACAATACTAGCAAGTTTAGGAACACCTTTGTGTCCCGAGCGCCCCCTGCTGGTTCTAAGCAACCCCAAAGGGAGGTTTATGACAGGCTCACATTGAGGTTTCTCTCACTGTGCTTGCACAGTAATACACGGCCGTGTCCTCAGTTCTCAAGTTGTTCATTTGCAGATACAGCGTGTTCTTGCTGTTGTCCCTGGAGATGGTGAATCGGCCCTTCACGGAGTCTGCGTAGTATGTGCTACTACCATCATACCTAATTGCTGAGACCCAGTCCAGACCCTTCCCTGGGGCCTGACGAATCCAGCTCATCGCATAACTACTGAAAGTGAATCCAGAGGCTGCACAGGAGAGTCTCAGGGACGCCCCAGGTCGCACCAAGCCTCCTCCAGACTCCACCAGCTGCACCTCAGCCTGGACACCTGCAAACACAGAGACATCCTACTCAGGGAATGGCCACACATGGCCATTGTTTATCCCACTCCTGTCACTGACACACTCAGTAGTTCTTGTTTTTCATCAGTTACCTTTTAAAATAGCAAACAGAAAGACGCATTTCAACATCAGCTCCATGATGTGCTGTCTGTTCGTGGCCCCAATCACCTAGCAGGAACAGCTGGACACCCAGGGCTGAGCTCCTCTGCAGAGCTGCAGGGGCATCCGGGCTGGGCTGGTTTTCATCAGCAGAGCAAGGCAATATTTGCATGCCTTCCTGCTATATAGACAGCTCCATTGTGGAAGCCTCAGAGAGGAAAGCGTCCAAAGCTCAAGAGAGTTTTGAGAGGTTTTTTGGAACATCCCTAATACCATAGAACACACGCCTCCTTGCTATGTGTCTGTGTAGTGATGAACACCTAACCTCATCTATTGTACTTACTCTTCCATACAGATAAGTGATGGATTTGGCCACTTCACACATTGCTGGTGTGAACACAGAATGAGGAGCATGATGACCCATAAGCTGTGAGCTCATACGCTGTGAAAGCATCCTGGGTTTACATAACAGACTCCTTCCCACAGTTTTCAGTTGCAATCTGAACCATTTCAAGACACAGGGTAACCCTTCATGTTTCATGATGTTTGGCAGACCAGTTCTTTCACTGAGAGAACATGGACGGATTTTTCTTTATTGTAATATGTTTATAAATGAACAAACAATTTCTTTCAAGCATAAGTACAAGAATCTTGTATCACTTTTTTAATCTCTGCATTAAGCTATGTACTATGAACTATGCTACACATATATGAATTAGAGTATGAAATACATTATGTTGTGAATTATTGACAAATGAGGTACATTTTGACATAAGTATACAACTTTTTAAATATTGCCAAAATCATGCCCATGTTCAAGAGATACAAAGAAGAAATACTCACAAATTCTCCTGTCAGATTCTGTGAAACCTCCTTGTTATGATTTGTTGTTTCGTAAAGGAATTGAACTCAGGAGGTCGTGCTTGCCAGGTGAGGTTTGTGTTGCTGAGCCGCATCTCCAGACCTAGAGTATCTTTTCTTCCAGCTTTCCTTAAACAAACATTTGTTACTGCATGAGAAAGTCTCTCTTCATAGTGACAAAATGATCAATCAAATTTTATATGATGATGATGATGATGATGATGAGAACTCTGTATGCCAAAGCACCCTCATTTTTAAGATCCACAGTCACCTTTCTAGTATTTTCAAATTGTTCATGCCCTCCCCTAGACATCCATGTGAAGGACATAAAATATACATGTGTAAATATATTCTGTAACCAAAATCCCTTTCACTCTATGGAGTCTGAAGTCTCCATCTATGAGCTGGAGAGACACACTCTGAGTACTCTCCAGTGTATATTATTCTGAGTTTGAAGGGAAACTCAGATACTGACAGGAAGCCCTCACTCCTCAGCTGCTCTCACTGCATGTTCTCCTGGGGCCACTCCTGGTTCTCTGCAGATTACCACTTCTGGTCCAGAGCTTTCCATACTGGTCCTGAGGACACTTATGTGATGTCAGGTAGGAACATATTTGATCCTGTGCACCCCTTCAGATCTGCACCTCCCTATGCATAGCTTTGTAGCTGGGTTCACACTTATGTCCCTTAGAAAACGTCTTGCATGGTAATGTTTTTCCTTGATACTGAGAAGAGATGTGTGAACTGGAACCTGAATGTGTCTTTAGAAATGCTGATGGGCAGGTGAGATAGCACAGTGGAATAAGCATGTGCTCAGGAAAGGGCAGGGACTGGAATTTGATCCCTGGAACCACATGTATTGCCAGCCCCGTCCCAGGAGTGCTGAGCCAGCCACCGAGACTGAGGGTGGCGGTGCACACCTGTTATCCCAATGCTGGGTAGGCTGAAAACGGGGGGATCTCTATGAGTCTGAGTTTTATAGTAAGACCCTGTACCAAATACATACACAAAGAAAAAAGAAATTCTCATTTGTCAAGAATGAATACCAAGCTGCACCTCAGCTATTACCAACTTGCTGTATCCTCTCCTTTTGCTTCCTGGATGCTAGAGTATCCAGCTATAGTGGAAATTTACCAGAAGAGGAGTAACCAGAGAATGCACTTGAGAGACAGGGACTGTGAAGGCTTTACTGGCCAGGTATGATCTCTTGCAGAAATACATGGAACAGCATAGGGGAGAAAACAGTGAGTCCTGAGATCAGATGAAGCATCTTCACGTCATTCTGTCTTAATTTCACAACACTCACACATGAAACTTCCACCAGAAAGACAAGGAAACAGCAGTGTTGCAGGTTCTTGAAGACTAGCTTTACAAATCTCACGTAATATTTGAAATATTGATATACACGGAATAAGGCCTGGTGGTGCATTCCTGTAATTCCAGCGCTGAGGAGATTGAGACAGAAGGATCACTATGAGTTTGAGATCAGCCTGGGTACAACAAAACTGAGCACAAAGGGCTGGTCACATAGTTCAGTGGATTAAAGTGTCTGCTTAGGCACTTGCACGGTCGGAAGTTTGATCCTTGACATGACGTGCTGGCCTTGCCCCCGGAGCATGCTGAGAGGAAGATTGAGAGTAGGAGTGGTGGTGCTTCCCTGTAATCCTAGTGCTTGAGAGGCTGAAAACAGAGGGATCACTGTGAGTCCAATCTGTGAAGTGAGAACCTGTAAACCCTGTGTTAAATACTTTAAGAAAAATTACTACAAAACTGAGCATAAGGCCAGCCCAAATGTGTAGCAAGACTATGACTCAAAAAAAAAACTATTGAGATACAAACAAAGAATATTCTGAGATGCAACATGAGTTTATCTAGTAGCTCCTAAAGCATTTGTATGAGGGGTGCACACTGTACATAAAGATGGAAAGCAGACAGAGCATGTAGAATTTTGTGGATCTGCCTTTGGGTGGAGGATGCTGAATGAGCCTGAAAGAGCTCAGTGATATCTCTGGGTTCATTGCTCTTGACCCAGTGCCTTCGTCTCTAGTCCAGGAGATGTAGAGGAAGAGCTCCTTGGGGAGCTGGACTGCTTACAGATGAAGGAGGGCATGGGAAGATGAAAACCGCACAAAGAGAGGAGAGGAGTCCTGTGAGGTATATGCAGCACATGTGCATAACACACAGCATGAATCCATGTTCCATGGACATATACTATACACATCCATTTCAGGGTCCTGGCTGTAATCAATGTTCACTCTCCGCTTTCCATTTGCTCATTCCAAAACTGGTATATCCCAAGGCTCTGAGGTCAACAGACAAATGATGTTATGTCACTGAAACAGGCAAAACTTGTCTCAGAAACAAAAGTTGTCCTACATTTTCTGGACTATTACACACTTATCTGATTGCATTTTCAAGGGAAATACACTCATAGATGTGCAGGATCATGTGTCTATGTGAAGACCCAATTTTTATCCTCAAAGCGCCTCACACTTTGTTTTCTGCTTCTCAGTAGATATTTACAATTGTGTAGTGTCATCATTTGGGGTTTTGCAAGGGAAATGATACAAAAGAAGACACATATTTTATATTTTCATTTTATAAAGGTCACACAAATAATCATGTGCAAGGAGAGTTTAAGATATCTATCTAGTTGGGGATGTAGCTCAGCAATACCGTGATTGACAGGCAAGCTGAAGGTTATCAATTTGATTCCCAGAACAAAGAAAGAAAAGTAATCTTTCCCCACACAAGTGACCAAAGTATCTCACTGATGACCTGGATCCCATAGTAATACCCAGCATGAGTGCAGTTGAAGACTTACAGCTCATAACAATGCCTGATATGAGCCCAGCTGGAGGCCTAGGGCCTCTGGCAATGTCTCATTCAGTCCCATTTCATGGACTGTGCTGGGAAGTCCCAGAGGTCAGTGGTGGAAGCCAGTAAGCCTGTGTCAGCATGATGAAGGATTTGTTCCAGCAGGCTGAAGGATCTGCGCTGGATGCAGGAAACAATGCTCAAGGTAAGAAGCAGAGTGCTCCTAAAAGGTATCACAGACAACATTAGCAACAGTAAGGTTCGGATTTTCCACTGATGATGAGGAAACTAGAGTTCCCATCAGGAAAGCAAACACAACAAGCTTGTCCACTCAGATGAGTAGGGCATTGCCTTCCCTTCTGGAGCCAGGAAGCTATGCTTATGGCACTGACCAGAGCTTGCCAAAATTAGTCATACCAATTATAAAAGACAACAAAGTGAGCCCCTTTGATAATGAGAACAGCTGAATTCATCAGAAAAGCCAGCATGAGAAGCTTCTCCAGGAAAACCAACAGCTCCATACAACTTCCCTAACAGCCCTTCTCCTTCTCCTTCTCTCTTTTGCTTCTCCTTCTCCCTGTCTTCCTCCACCTCCTCCCCTTTTCTTCACTTTCTCCTCCTTCTCCGTTTCCTCCTACTTCAGTTTTGACTTTTCTGCTGTTGGCAACATTAGCAGATGGACCCCACACACCCAGCACCACAATGGTTCAGTTCAACCAGGTGTTACAAGTTGACCACCAGTCTCCAATCCACCACATGTAGTGTAATTTCTAGGCTTCTTGAAATAGAATCCAGATTCTTTGGTGCATTTTTTCTGTAGCAAGGTGAGTTGCTGTGAGTGAACCTCGAACTTGCAACTCCCTGCTGGGAGAACAATGATGCACATGTTCCTCAGAGCTGAGCTGAAGTGTGACACTGAAAGGCTTTCTGCTCAGTCACATGGATAGAACCAGACTTCACGTAACTCTCACAGAGCCAGAGAGGACCACTACTTGTTGACTATTGATGCATTAAAATGTTTACCAGTATTATGCAGCAAGGACCTTCATGAGTACTCCCTACTGAGTTCCACACCAAATGCTTTACAGATTATCTAAGACCAGCATGGAAGAATCTACCAGTTTTCTTTATTAGGTCTCCTTAAATAATTCCTTCTTGAGTTCTCATCCTAAATAATTTCTTCTTATTCCTCCTTAAATAATTCCGACACCTGATCCTGATTTCTGACCTCCATTCAGAATTACATGGGACCAATGGATTGATAGGAAGATTAGTAAGTATTCTCACAGAGAAAAGAGCAAAATGTTGTAATAATGCAATTGTCCTCACCAATTTGTCTCTGATCCAGGAAACTCCAGCTGAGTATTTATGAACAACAAAGGACACCAAGAAGAGCACAGCTCCATCCCTTCTTA